AAATACTGACTGTATTTTGAGCTTCTTGCTTTCATTATTTCTCCAACTTACTGATGAGTTTATCAGTTAACCTGATTATCTGTATTTTACTTTCAGTGTTTGCTTTCGTCTTTATTATTTCTTCTTCCTATGTTTTTTGTATTTGCCTTTTGGCTTTTACCTAAATGTAGCTATTTCTTTGCTTTTGTGTGTTCAGTTGCCAATGTTGAATAGTGAATATACTTAAAGCCCTGCCTAAGTTTTGTTTTATATTTTCAAAAACAAATCTAGATCCTCATATGTATATATCATCACTGTATAAGTGTCAGTTGTTTTGTTTCTTCTCTTTCATTCATTCCTTCTTTGCCTTTTGGCTTTTACCTAAATGTAGCTATTTCTTTGCTTTTGTGTGTTCAGTTGCCAATGTTGAATAGTGAATATACTTAAAGCCCTGCCTAAGTTTTGTTTTATATTTTCAAAAACAAATCTAGATCCTCATATGTATATATCATCACTGTATAAGTGTCAGTTGTTTTGTTTCTTCTCTTTCATTCATTCCTTCACTGAGGTAGATATTTCAATAGTTTTTTTAAATTGCACTCTAGTTTTAAACCATCATGGATGGTTAATATAAGAATAAAATTTTTATTTTTATAAATTACTGAGCTTTATTCAGACCACTGCAGCTTTTCTAAACACATACATTGTGTAAAACATTCATGGTTAAAAACACTTCTGTTTTCTATAGCACTGGTTTTTGTCATGTAAGCAAAGGTTTTTTTAATATTTTAATTATTAATTTTATTTTATGTGTATGCATGTATTGCCTGCATGTAGGTAAGTGCACCCGTGTCATGCAATGCCTGCAGAGGACAGAAGAGGCTGTCGGATCCCCTGGAACTGGAGTTACGGACAGTTGATAGCTGTCATGTGGGTGCTGGCATTCGAATCCAGGTCTTCTGCAAGAACAGTCAGTGTACTTAACTGCTGAGCCATCTGTCCAGCCCCACAAAGTATTTTTTAATATACATTATCTCCCTAATATTTTTAGCAATGTCATGTTATCTAAAATGAGTTGTATTCCTTTAAATATGCTTACTGCCTTCTCTCTTCCTATTGCTCCAAACTACATTAGCTCAAGCTTTATTTTGCAATTCTCAACTGAGCATAGATATTTCACT